AAGTAGCTATGCCCATCACTGACCCAACCTGAGTTGGTTTTTCGTTCTTGCTATAAACACACTCATCACAAGTCTGCCGTGAGCTAACACCAGGTGTCAGCAGGACTACATTCCTTTCTGGGGGCTCAAGGGGAGAATTAAATCTCCTTGCCTTTTCCAGCTCCAAAAGGCGGCTGGCATTCCTTGGCTTGTGGCCCCCTCTACCATCTTCAATGCCGGCAACAGTAGATGGAGCCCTTCTCACATTACATTACTCTGAGCTCTAACTTCTACCTCCGTCTTCCACTTTTAAGGGCCTCTGTAATTACACTGGACCTACCCAGATAATCCAGAATAATTGTCCTAAGTGTCAGCTGATGTAGCAACCTTAATTCCATCGGTGACCTGATGCACCTTGGCCATGCAACCTAACATATTCACAGGTTCTAATATGTAGACAACCTTTTTTGGGGGGTCGGGGTATGTGTACTCTTCTGCCTACCACAGTACTTTATACCAATCACATCAGCTCTTCTGGGGTGATGCCCAAGTATCAATACTGTCTATAGGTCCCCAGATAACTTCAATGTGCTGACAAGTTTGAGAACCAGTGCCCTTGTGGAGTATGTAGAGAGAATACACTTAGTCCTCTACTTTCATATTGCCTCTCGTGTTTGCATGACAGATATAAACCCCACACATGCACAGAAGAACATCGCACAGTTACATACCCACGCATCTGCCATCCTAGTAGCAGTCGGAGACTCTGTTCATCACATTTTAACCCCATCCTCTTCGTTTCCTCCCTGCCTCCCAGTCCTCATCTTCCTTCTAGCCCCAGATGCGCGCATGTGTACATAGACAAACATGAGGTATTTTTCCATTCGCTGCCAAAATAAGCTATTTTCCCCGCGGTGGCCTCCCAGAGAGACAGAGTTACGCTGGTGGTTTTCCAACATGCACATTTGCTCCTCAGAAATGGGGCAGAGTCAGCCATTTTCTTTCAGAGGAACCGAGAGGCTCTGAGGATAAAAATTATATCCCTGCTCGCACTATAATCAGCCGCTTTTGTATCTGTAGGTGTTGAGAACAGGGCTGCGGCCCCCACCGGACTGTTCCTGTGATCTGAGTGTGCACTGAGGAATCTGGACATCGGAGAAGGACACCGCTTTTGCTGTAAATCTCTCTATTTGATTTACTGACTTACTGAATTATCCTCTTGGTTTTCATTAAATGAGAGAAACAATAGGGTAAGATAAAGGCCAACCGGGCCATTTTGGAATCAAGTATCAAAACCTTACTAACAAAATGCATTGTACTTAGAACATAACCACAAAGCTGAAGGGTCAAATTACCATCAATTTAGAAATTCAGTTCCAATCTCCTCACACAGAATTAAAAAGGGCCTGACCAACTCCAGGGATTATCCTGTTCATATGTCAGCGACCAAGCCTAAAGAGGGCCAGGGTGAGCAGTTTAGTGGCAAGGGGGAGGGGAGACCGAAGTGTGCAGTGGACCTGGGGCTGGTTGCTGGTGAAGGTGCAGGTCGGCAGGAGAGAGCAGCGGAGGCCAAACCAAGGTTGCCTCATACAACAGAGTTTAGTGCTTCAGTTCAAGGAGAACTGCCGGGAGGCTGGGCACAGAGGGCTCCCTCCATCAGACTTCCCAGACACTGTCATAATGAAGAACTGTGGTGCTGGTTTACTAGAAATGGCCCTTCAAGTTCATGCTCAGGAGGACAGAGCCTTTTGAAAGGAACACAAACAAGAAAATAAACGGGACTGAACCGACTGAAGTAGGTGTTGCTGAGACCTAATTCTGGCATTGGCCAAACCTTCAAGCAGGGGTGGGGAACCTTTGGTCCTTGGGCCGTATAAGGCCCAAGAAATCACTGGGTCTGGCCCTGCCAAGGTATTAGGGGTGAGTTAATTAGGGGTGAGTCTGACCAAATACAGCAAGCTCATCTTTAAGTTGATAATTTTGTATGGCCCATGAATGATGTTATAAATGTCCACATGGCCCTTGGCAGAAAAAAAGGTTCCCCTCCCCTGCTAAAGTCAGCACCACAAAGAGCCACAGGCACAGTTCTGGTGGGTAAAACAGCTGCTTCGCCAGTACCAGTGTGCGCCAGTCCCCATCATTCTTTTTGATACTCAAATATCCCAAATTCGGCCAATCCTCTTTATATATCTTTGCGCCTTTCCTTTCCTGAAAGAAACCAAGATGATAAGGAAGACCACTGTTTCAAAAGCATCAATACTGGGTTTGAGACCAGTGTGTCCTTTGAAAGAACTACTATGCTCCCTGAATGACCAAATGATCAGAGATTTCATATACTTACCAGTGAACTGTTATTAAGATGTGTTAGAGCCCGTCAGCTGAATTTTTATGCTGAAAGGTTAGGAAGGTAAGTGATAGGCTGAATAATAAGTATATACCCTCATCTTGATCCCTGAAATCTGTGAATGTTACCTTATATGGCAAAGGGACTCTGCAGGTGTGTTAATAAGGATAAAAAAAAAAAGGGGGGGGGAAGGATTAAGATATAAAATTGCCAGCTACAAAAATAGTCACAGGAATGTAAGGTACAACATAGGGAATACAGTCATTAATACTGAAGTAACTGTGTATGGTATCAGGTGGATACTAGACTTATCAGGGTGGTCCCATCGTGAGCTATATAAATAACTAATCCCTACGTTGACCTCCTGAAACTAAAAGAATATTGTATGTCAACTGTAATCGAAAAAAATTAATTATTAATTAATTAATTAATTAAAGATAGGAGATTATCCTTGATTATGTGGACGGGCCCTAAATGTAAGCACATGTCCTGATAAAAGGGAGGCAGAGAGGAATTTGACACAGAAGACAATGTGACAATTGAAGCAAGATGTGTGGTGCTGGCTTCAGAGATGAAGGAAGGGGCCACGAGCAGAGGGATCCAGGGAAGGCAGCTCTCAAAGCTAGGAAAGGCCAAGAGCTGGCTTCTCCGCAGGGCCTGGGAAGGGACCCCTCAGTTTCAGTCCAGTGAAACTCATTTCAGACTTCTGATCCCCAGGACTGGAAGGGAGTAAGTATGGGTTGTTTTAAGCCACTGAGTTTGTGATAATTTGTTAGAACAGCAATAGGAAACTAACTCAGGTCTGGCCTGGGCTTTGGGAGTTTTAAAAGCTCCCCGGGTGATTCTAATATGCAGCCAAGTGCAATAACTATTGAACCAGAGTTACTAGAAGAGAGACTAGATAATGACATGCTGGCGTGGTTGCTTATGTGGGGAAAATGTATGGGAAGTCAGCAAGTCACCTCGCCCAAGAATGAACCATCAATCCTTGACCATCTACCCACAGATTACTACACAGCGGCCTCTCCAAGCACGTCAGAGGATGGGCATGCTTCCCCGGTATGCTCTCCCCTCTAGTCTGACCCACTGCAGATGCTAAATTTCCTTGGGATAAAGAACAGCTACACATATGGTAGGCAGAGCTTTGTACAGAGCTAACTTTCTTACCAACACCACCTTTCACAGAAGGAATGGGCCAATGGCTACATTATATGCAAATACATGAATCGGCACTTTCACATGAACACTATCAGGAAAAGGACTAAACTGTCTTCCTCTCTGGGCTTAAACTACGAAAAACCACTATTAGGATTGAACAGATGGAGAGTTTTTCGTTTGCTTTTGTAATCTATTTACTTACGGTAGATTATAGGTGGAAATCATCTATATATTATTTATTTGGGAACAAAGTAACTCATTCTTCATAGAGATCCAGAAAAGTACCACTTGTACAATTTTGCCAGGGGCAGCCCTCCCTCCAGAGTGAGCATTTGCCTGCTCCTGGGGCTTCCTCATACCATGGTGCATGGTAAGTTTACTGAAAAGCCAATCCATCATGTGCCTCCATAGTACTATCACCAACAGCCAAAACCCACTGCCTCTTACTTCTTACTTTTCTCTCCCTACTTTGTCTTCTCCAGAGAGGAAACTAGTGAGGTAGAAATGGCAGTCACATGAGAATCCGAAGACCTGTTTGGAATTTCAGTTCTATCCCATGTAAGTGATGTCCTGTTAGGAGTCCCTCAGCCACTCTGAGCTCTGTCTCTAACAAACAGATACCGTTGCCTTCACAGTGTTGACGAAATAAAACAACACAGGTGAAACTGCTTGGCACACAGTAAGAACTTCATGAGGCTCAGCTTTCACACATCACACCCTATGCCAAAGCTTCTCACGTCTCCTTCCGCCATCCTCTCGTGAGCTCTGGCCCTGTATCTCCCACCGTCTCCTCCATGCTCCGGCTCGGATCTCTTACAGGCATCCCCAACTGGGCATGTCTAAACTAGATTTATGATCTGCACTCACACCAGGACCTCCAATTGCCCTGACCGTGTCCATCCATTAACGTGCCCTCAGGCCCCTCCCCCATCCTGTCTTCTCCATCCCCACTGCTCACCTCCCATTCGGGCTCAGAGCCTCGCGGCTCACACCTCAAGCACAGGAGCCTGTAGGGTGACAGCTCCATCTCTTCCAGGCCAGCCTGCTTGTGGACTGCAAATGAGTCTCTCTTCAGGCAGATTCACCACCTCAAGCCCTGAAGAAAGATCCTCAAGCACTTTCTTGCCCTGCAGCCGGTATCTGTGATGGATGGGAGGGGAGCCACTCCGCCGGACAGCAGAGGACAGCCTTCCCTGTGTCTGCAGTCAGCGTGCAAGGCACTGAGCAATGTCACTACGTTATGCATGGAGGAAAGCTCTCAGAAAAAATGGATCGTAAAACAAAATATTTTTAAAAGCAGTTCCAGAGAACTGGACATTGTTTATCAAATTTCTTGACCTAGTATTTAGTAACTACAATCTAAATCTGCCACAAACCACACTCAATTGCATTCAATATAATAATCCACGTTAGTAAACCACGTTATGTGTTTTGTAATGTTACAATCAGTTAACAAATATGCAAGCCTTCAGTATTTATTCTAAGTAGCAAATGCGGTCAATCGCAGAGATATTCTTACCATTTTGTTCCTCCAGCTCATTCCCAATCTCTTGCCCCATTTGCTTTTGGCGACTTATGATAGAAGAAAGGGCATCGAGGCCTGCATCCTGTTCTGAAAGAAAAAGTAAAACACTCAACTAAGAACTGGAGGAAACCATTGAAAGTCCAGAAATATGCCCGTGGGCATAACACAACTCAATATATGATGAAAGTAACCTTTTAAATCATTAGGAAAAGGAGAGAGAAAACAGGTAACATTTTTGGAACAAAATAAAGGAAAAAAAATTAAGTATCTACTTCATACCTTAAACTAAAATGATTTCCAGATGAATTAAAATTTTAAATATTAAAAATGAACATAAGATTTGACTACATAAACATTTAAACTTTCGAATATTTGATACATAAAGAGCATGTGCAAATCGATAAGACTTATTCCTCTAAGTTTTAAAATGGGCAAAGGATATAAATAAGAAATGAAAATGAGCCGAAACCGGTTTGGCTCAATGGATAGAGCTTGGTGACTGAAGGGTCCCGGGTTCAATTCCGGTCAAGGGCATGTACCTTGATTGCGGGCACATCCCCAATGGGGGGTGTGCAAGAGGCAGCTGATTCTCCCTCATCGATGTTTCTAACTCTCTATCCCTCTCCCTTCCTCTCTGTACAAAATCAATAAAATATATTTAAAAAAAAAAAAAAAGAAATGAAAATGAAAAAGAATGTGAACAAGCAGGGTTAACTAAGTGAGAAGAACTAGAAGCTCCCACGTACTGTGTCATGGGGGGACAGCTGACATACCTTTCCGGAGAGAAAATTGTGCCTACCTTTTTACCTGTCAGCCCCATGTTTAGGAATGTATGTAAGAAAGCATCAGACCGCATGCAAGATGTGCATCCAATGACATGCCTTGATACATAGCTTCCTGTGCTAGCTATCAATGTATTACCTCTCAGCTCCAAGCTGACCCCCTTTTGACTGCTCTGTGAAAATGGACCTGGGCCCTTTAAATATTTTTCCCTTGGCCATCTCTGTCAGTAAGAAGGGACTACAGAGACATCCCGGGAGGAAAGTTTGCTTCCTGCCTCCAGCCTGCTCTCTCACCAGGCTCCCACAGCCTCCCAGCTTCTCCAGTGTCCTCCAGCACACAGAGGCCAGCAGCACCCCAAGGTCAGCAGGGCACCCCTGGGCAGTTTTTAACAGAGTGCCTCCACTTAGACACTTCCCCATGAATGGTATCCCTGGCATCCTAGAGGCAGATTCCAGCAGGTTCCACAGTCTGGCTGCAAACCACAGGGACCTCTCTGGAATCATTACTCTAATGTCCTATTATCCTATCTAATGAAAGAGTGATATGCAAATTGACCATCACTCCAAGACATAAGATGGCCACCCCCATGTGGTCAAAGATCCTGCCCCCATGTGGACACAAAACGGCACCACGAGATGGCCTACAGGGGAGGGCAACTGTGGGCAGTTAGGGGTGACCAGGCCAGCAGAGGAGGTCAGTTGGGGGCAACCAGGATAACAAGGGAGGGCAGTTATGGGGGGGCAGGATCCCAGGCCTGCATGGGAGGTCATTTGGAGGGATCAGGCCTGCAGGGGAGGGAAGTTGTGAGTGATCAGGCAAGCAGGGATGGCAGTTAGGGGTGACCAGACTGTCAGAGGAGGGCAATTGGGGAGACCAGGTCTACAGGGGAGGGCAGTTGTGGGGAACCAGGCCTGTGGGAGAGCCGGGTAGCAGTTGGGAAGGACCAGACTTTCAGGGGAAGGAAGTTGGGGGGGGGGGGACCAGGACTGTAAGGGATGACAGTTAGGGGTGACCAGACTGGCAGGGGAGGGCAGTTAGGGGCAATCAGGCCAGCCAGGGAGTAGTTAGGCATAAATCAGGCTGGCAGGGGAGTGGTTAGGGGGTGATCAGGCTGGTAGGCAGAAGTGGCTAGGAGCAATCAGGCAGAGGCAGGCAAGCAGTTGGGAGCCAGCAGTCCTGGATTATGAGAGGGACGTCCCAGATTGGTGAGGGTGCAGGCTGGGCTGAAGGACACTCACTCTCCCAACTCCCCATGCATAAATTTTGTGCACTGGGTCTCTAGTAGTTAATAATTCTGTACATTAAACTTTCAACCCTCTTTCTCCTAATTGTTTCCCACACTGATACATTTATAATAGTGAGAAGCTGGAAACTATCCAAATGCCCAAGCACAATGATTTGTTTAAAAATGTGTATATAGCCATATAATAAAACACTACAGAGCCATTAAAAGTGATAGGGTCCGTGGATATTTTGATGTTGAAAGAAATCCATGATATGTTAAGTGTAAAAATGCAGTACATAAAACAATAAATAGTAAAAAGAGAATTTTTGTTTCTTAAAATGTATTGCTTTTCTAGATTGTAAAAATTTAAAGAAAAAAGAACTCAAAGTACTTTCTTTAAAATTTTATATTGGTTTGTTCTTTGCAGTATCAGTAATATCTTTGTAAGAACCATTTTCTTCGCTTTCAGGTGCATTTGGAAGAACATTCTTTTCTTTTTTTTCTTTTTTTTATTTTAATATATTTTATTGATTTTTTACAGAGAGGAAAGGAGAGGGATAGAGAGTTAGAAACATCGATGAGAGAGAATCATCGATTAGCTGCCTCTTGCACACCCCCTACTGGGGATGTGCCCGCAACCCAAGTACATGCCCTTGACCGGAATAAAACCCAGGACCTTTCAGTCCACAGGCCAACGCTCTATCCACTGAGCCAAACCGGTTTCGGCTGGAAGAACATTCTGAAGCTGAACCTAAGGACTCTTTCTACCCACGCAATCTGCCAGATGAGGATAACATGCCAATTGTGGCTTCATTTGTTGATGGGGTTCTTTTCATGTCTAGTTCACATAAAGAAATATCTTCGAAAGCAGAAATCACAATGGTCTTCTTATGCAAGATCATGTTAACATTGACTTGTATTTTTTCCTAGTCTTTTTATGGAATTAAGCCATTACGCTTAACTCATTAATTCATCTGGAATTTATTTAAACTAATGGTATGAGGTAAGGACCCCTTAGTGACATTTTTTGACACTACGTATTTTTCAAACTATACAAATGACCTGCTTTCTCCAGGGATCATTCTAAGGGACCATTTTACAGCAAAATCTCTTTATAATGAGGTCCTTTTGGTCTTTAGTAACAACCTCTTGGATGACTTCCAAGATAAATCTATCATCAACCTAGTGCTGCTCTAGGATGACCAATATTATAGCAAAAATCCAAATGCATCCGGAAAAGAATCTACCTATAGGACTGAGAGTCGAGAGTCAACAAGAATTAAAAGGTAAAACAATTTTAAAAGAGGATAGAAGATTCCTCTACAGTTTTCAATTAGAAAAAGAATCATTAAAGTTACGAAGTTGCTTTATCTAGAAGAGACACAGATTGTGAATGAAAAATAACTACCCTGCACTCTTTTCTCTCAACCTTGACTCATGATATGGTTTAACCACCTAAAGGTTCTCTTTCTAATGCAAAACAGAAACAGGGCTAAACATTCTGCTCGACTGAAATCATTTCTGTAAGAACTTAGCATCTCCTCACTGTAGTTAAGTGCGATAACATTTTCATTCCACAATCCAAAGACACAGCCAGTCCAGGGACCTGAGAGCCTGTGTATGTGATGATGATAGTGATGACCCGAGCCTCTCCAAGCCCTAAAGCAGCAATTCCAAGGGCAGGTGGCATGGTCATCTTAGAGACAATGAACCAAGTAAAATGCTGTACTCACAAAAATATAGACAGTCATGCAGAACCATGCAAAACTATGATGTCATACTGACTAGCTCATTACTGTCATCTGCCCTACCCTATCACATATCCCAAGTCATTATATCACAGTAGATCATTTGCAACATACAGTCTATTAATCGTTCTTCAATTTTGTAATAATGTTCATTTTTAAAAAAAAAAATGGGTAACCATTGTGATACATAGAATAATGTGCCCCCTGAAGATTCCCATTTCCTAATCCCTGGAACCTGGGAGTAGATGAGCTTACTCAGCAGAAGGAACTCTGCCATTGTGATTCAGATGAAGGCATTTGAAATGGGAGGTTATTCGGATTGTCCAGGAGGACCCAGTGGAATTGTGAGTCCTTAAGACAGAAACTTCTTCTAGCTGCCATCTCAGGGGGACAGGAAGAAGGATCTGAGAGATGCAACTACTGGCTTTGAAGACTGAAGCAGGGAATGACGAGGTGGTTGGCGGCCTCCAGCAGCTGGAAAAGGCAAGGAGATGCCTTCTCTGGAGCCTCCACCCAGAAAGCCCACGCCTCGGCCCCGGCCCAGAGACCCACAGTGACCTTCTGACCTACAGAACTGTAAAATAATAAGTTTGAATTTTAAGCCACCAAATTTGTACTAATTTATAATGACAGACTAGAAAATGAATACAATCATTTTTTTAAAATCCCTTTGGAATAATTAGGTGTTTGGAGATTTTTCTATCTTTAGATATTCAGAAAAGCCATCTTCTAACTAAATATCATGTAATTGTGGGAGGACTATCTGGTGGCTGCAGATTAAAAATAAAGAGTCATCATACTGTGTTCTTACCAAAAATAACAAACTTGATCCTGATCAAGCCACTAAATCTAACTACCAATTTACAGAAAACATGCGGGACAAAGGAATATTTTAATAGATGGGCATACAAATAGCAAGATCTAGATGATGGGAAACTACACGGCAAATGACCCTGTTTCTTCAACCAAGAAAAGGCAAAGAAAAAAAGAGAGAGAGCTGGCAAAGGAACCTATCTATTAAAGGAGCCGAAGGGACATCCATTAGTTGCAATGTCCACACTATATTCAGATCATGATCTGAACAACCTAAACTAACAAAACCAAACATCATGGGACAATCAAGGAAATCTGAGCACTCGATGTCTGATTATACTATGGAATTATTGTGAACTTGCTAAGGGTGATAATAGCCTTGTGATTATATTTTTTTTTAAAAAAAAAAAAGTCCTTATCTGTTTAAAACATATTTTAGAGACATATTTTGGAATATTCACCCATGAAGTAATACCTGAGATTTGCTTCAAAAAAAGTCCATGGAATAGGTAGTTGGG